CGAGTAATCGAATAAAGCGGAACAGGTAGAAACTGAGCCTCTTCCACATCTCCTTCGCTTCTAGGAATTGCTAAAGGGAGAGGTGCAGAGAGCGCCGTCCTCACCTCAAGAATGTTCTGTGAGATCTTCGAAAATGACCTAAATCAGGAAAGTTGCAATTAGAGCGCTATTTTAGGAACATGTGTAAAATCAAATAGCTTTGTGAAAATCTTTTCCGGGGAGGGGAAGGGGGGAGCTGTTTTGAAATTACAGTTCTAAAAAGCCTTCGAATTTTCAAATGTCGTTTCTAATACCAGATCTCTTTATTCGGGAAATTTCTGTATCCCTTCCCTCAAGAAAATTTTTGCTGATAACAAGCGTGTATAAGTCGCATTCGCTCCAAATATGAGCAGGCGCAAACCTGCATATGGATCAAGCAAAGCTGTTTAGATTTTTCAACATTTTCCATCTCCCATGTGCAATCTATATCCCAAATTTGATAAACACTGCTTTGAGCTTTTGTAGCTGTGTCTGGATTTTGTTGAGTGATAATATTAGGAGCGACGCATGGAAGCGAGTTTGTTTATTTTGGTGACATGGCGGCGGCAATGGGACGTGAGTTCAACGAGCAAGAAGAGAACATTGCTGACTTTCTAGGAGAGTCGTTGTCAGAGTTCGCTAAGAATGGGTAAGAATTTGGTTTGTATACTTTTATATTTAAGAGGGTATTTTGTAGACATCCTTCCAACAGTCAACAACCATGGCTGAGGGTCAAAGCAGATTCTGCTATTCGCTTTATGAATATCGCGCCAAAGTGCATGATGAAGACGGGCTTTTTCAGCGGTGAGTAATACAGGTGTCAGTTATGAACTGCTCAAAGTGCTCCTTGAAAAATGCTGGGTTCGTGTTCACGAGGACTAACACGTCCTAAACCACAACATCCATTGTCTCCACTCTGCGGTTATGATGGGAGATAGCCGCCTGATGTAGCTACCAAACGACACGTACTGCGTGCGTGATATGTTTCGAACGACCCACCGCCAGGGCAGGATTACTACGGCCCAGCTGTGATACTTGGCCAGACCAC